CCCACTACGATCTGGCGGAGTAGTCGGTGTAAATGGGTAGTGATGGCCACTGCTGTCACTGTTGACTATAAGAACACCATCCCCACCGTCAAACATGGAGGTGGAAACATTATGCTTTGGGGGTGTTTTTCTGCTAAGGGGACAGGACAAATTCACTGCATCAAAGGGACGATGGACGGGGCCATGTACCGTCAAATCTTGGGTGAGAACCTCCTTCCCTCAGCCAGGACATTGAAAATGAGTCGTGGATGGGTATTCCAGCATGACAATGACCCAAAGCACACGGCCAAGGCAACAAAGGAGTGGCTCAAGAAGAAGCATATTAAGGTCCTGGAGTGGCCTAGCCAGTCTCCAGACCTTAATCCGATAGAAAATCTGTGGAGGGAGCTGAAGGTTCGAGTTGCCAAAAGTCAGCCTCGAAACCTTAATGACTTGGAGAAGATCTGCAAAGAGGAGTGGGACAAAATCCCTCCTGAGATGTGTGCAAACCTGGTGGCCAACTACAAGAAACGTCTACCTCTGTGATTGCCAACAAGGGTTTTGCCACCAAGTACTAAATCATGTTTTGCAGAGGGGTCAAACACTTATTTTCCTCATTAAAATGCAAATCAATTTATAACATTTTTGACATGCGTTTTTCTGGATTTTTTGTTGTTATTCTGTCTCTCACTGTTCAAAAGGAGTTAGATTAACATGGATTTAAGCTTTCTGCCCATATAAGACATCTCTATGTCCTGGAAAGTTTGCTGTTACTTACAACATTCATGCTAATCACATTAGCGCACATTTGCTCAACCGTCCCGTATACAGGACACCGATCTCATAGAGGTTAATAGTAAAATTTTAAAAACTTAAGGCTACTATTATATTATAAGTATTTCGGTGACAACCTGGTTGATTAACAATATTGGGTTGTAAACACGTTTTTTTTATATAAATGTGCGACACAAAAAAAAGCAGTGTAGAACACTATTGCCCAAAATGCATTGGTCCAAAAACTTTCAAAAGATTGTTCCGAAGTTTACCCCCCAAATTTTTATTTTTGTATGAATGAAGTCTCACAAAAATAGTATTTTCCTACTAATTAACTCACACAAAAATGATTTTTAAGGAGCTACTCTCACGCTGTCTGACAGATGGTAGGCTATTCTGCTCATCAAACTAGGCTCTTTATGCTGTGCCTGTGTGATAAATAAAAAATGCATGACAACAAACAAAAATACAAACATACCAATTTAATTCCACACAATTATGGAAATTAACCTATAGACCAATAAGCATGACCGGTCAAATGTATTTTCGGCAGCTAACCGATTAATGGTTTACCATTAACATCCCTTGTAGAAAGGCAGGAAATGAGCTTTAGATGTCCCCCAAAATTGGGAGGACCCCCAGACCCCCACCAAGTTGTTACCCCCACTTCTAAAACCAAAGTTGCACCCCTGGGTACATGCAGTAATCAAATCAGAGCCAGATTAACCTCAGCACAGTGGTGGAAAAAGTACTCCTATCATCATACTTAGGTTAAAAAAATTCAATCTACAGTACCTTAATAGAAAATGACTCAAGTAAAAGTGAAAGTAACCCAGTAAAATACTTTGACTTTTGCTCAAGTAGTATCTGGTTTTAACTGTACTCAAGTACAGTGGTGGAAAAAGTACTCAATTATCATACTAGAGTAAAAGTAAATGTTATAAATCAAATTCCTTATATTAAAGCAAACCAGACCGCACAATTTTTTTAAATTGTATTTATTTACAGACAGCCAGGGCATACTCCATTCCTCAGACATCATGTACAAACAGTATTTGTGTTTAGTGAGTCCACCAGATCAGAGGCATGACAACGCATTACATTGACATGTGTGAATTGGACAATATTGCTGTCCTTCCAGGGCATTCAAAATGTAACTTCTGTGTGTCAGGGAAAATGTATGGGAGTAAAAAGTATATTTTCTTTACGAATGTAGTGGAATAAAAGTTGTCAAATATAAATAGTAAAGTACAAATACCCAAAAACACTACTTAAGTAGTACTTCAAAGCATTTTTACTTAGTACCTTTACACCACTGCCTTAGCGATAGTGTGTGCAGGTTTGGTCAGTAGCTGGGGCATGTTCCCCACCAGAAGCCAGGGTGTAGGGCCCGGCCAGGGGAGAAGTAGCCTACCTGCACACGTCATAGAAGACCAGACCAAATGGCAGGGTTGGGCCCACAGCACTACAGCTCAGCAGCCTTACAACCTTCATGCCTTTGTGTAGTATAGTTGTGATATTGCAATAACTAGACTTTTAGTAGTTATCATGAGCATTTATCAGTCCACCTATTCATAAGCGTACATTCTTACCTGCATCCTTCCTTTCCTAACTCTGTCCCCTACCATTCTGGTTTACCTGAGGCTAACAGGAGAAGTCCTACCTTACTCTATAGATTACTGCTACTGCCTTTCACATTGTCCGTCCAACACAAAGGCTTTGGGCTAGGCAAAGGAGGGAGAGGGAGGGCCCCAGCCCAATGCAAAGACTAAGTGGACTGCTGTGACAGCTCCTTCCATTGACCTGAGAGAAAAACAGTCAGGGGCATTTCTAGGAAAATGTTCACTTGGGTGACACAACCACTACCATTATGTAATAACTGAAATTTGTAACGTTTAGAATCAACAAAAGATATGAAATCAATAATACTACAGTGACCATTGTATGCAATACATGTCAATACCAGTGTCCTGCTGATTATATCCATGTTCTAGTAGTAGAGCAGCTGCAGTTATGTAAATGATTACTGAAGATGTTAAAAATCATCCTGTACTGCATTGTACATAGAGCGACCACAGTTTGCTGTCCCGATCGGCTTTTAAAAAAACTAAAAAATAAGGCAGCGGTTTCCAGGACCGATTTAAGAATCTCTATTAAAAATGCTTTAAGTCCAGGATTAGGCTTAATCTGTCTGGGAAACTGGCCAAAAAACAAGTAAGTCACCAAAAACAGTGTTGTTTGTTTGTGTTTACTGTATTTTTGGGGGGCTTTATGTTATTTAGTTTTATTTCCCCCCGTTACTATAGGTCTTTTTTGCACTACATACAGTGCCTTCAGAAATAATTCACACCCCTTGAATTTTTCCACATTTTGTTGTTACAACCTACATTTACATTGGATTAAATTGAGATGTTTTTGTCACTGGCCTACACACAATACCCCATAATGCCAAAGTGGAATTGTTTGTAGAAATAGTTTATTAATAAAAAATGAAAAGATGAAATGTCTTGAGTCTAAGTATTCAACCCCTTTTGTTATGGCAAGCCTAAATAAGTTCAGGAGTAAACATTTGCTTAATAATTCACATAATAAGTTGCATGGATTCACTCTGTGTGCAATAATAGTGTTTAACATGATTTTTGAATGACTACCTCATCTCTGTACCCCACACATACAATTATCTGTAAGGTCTCTGTCGAGCAGTGAATTTCAAACAAAGACCAGGGAGGTTTTCCAATGCCTCGCAAAGAAGGGCACCTATTGGTAGATGTTTATTTTTTTAAAAGCAGACATTGAATAACCCTTTGAGCATGGCAAAGTTATTAATTACACTTTGGATGGCGTATTAATACACCCAGTCACTACAAAGATACAGGCGTCCTTCCTAACTCCGTTGCCGGAGAGGACTTTAAAAGAGTTACAGAGTTTAATTGCTGTGGTAGGAGAAAACTGAGGATAGATCAACAACATTGTAGTTACTCCACAATACTATCCTAATTGACAGTGTAAAGAAGGTAGCCTGTCCAGAAAAAAACATATTCCAAAACATGTATCCTGTTTGCAACAAGGCGCTAAAGTAATACTGCTAAAAATGTGGCTAAGCAATTAACTTTTTGTCCTGAAAACAAAGTGTTCTGTTTGGGGCAAATCCAATATAACACATTACTGAGTACCACCATCAATATTTTCAAGCATGGTGGTGGCTGTATCATTATGTGTATGCTTGTAATCGTTAAGGACTGGGGAGTTTTTCTAGGATAGTCATCAACACTAAGAAACAGAATAGAACGAAGCAGAGGCAAAATCCTAGAGGAAAACCTGGTTCAGTCTGCTTTCCACCAGGCACTGGGAGATGAATTCCCCTTTCAGCAGGACAATAACCTAAAACACAAGGCCAAATCTACACTGGCGTTGCTTACCAAGAAGACAGTAAAAGTTCCTGAGTGGCTGAGTTACAGTTTTGACTTAAATCTATGGCAAGACCTGAAAATGGTTGTCTAGCAATGATCAACAACCAATTTGACAGAGCTTGAGGAATTTTTTTTAAGAATAATGGGCAAATGTTGCACAATCCTGGTGTAGAAAGCGCTTAGAGACTTACCCAGAAAGACCCTCAGCTGTAATCACTGCCAAAGGAGCTTCTACAAAGTATTGAGTCAGGGATGTGAATACTTATGTACATTAGATGTATGTATTTAATTTTCAATAAATCTGCAAATATTTCTACAAACATTTTTCACTTTGTCATTATGGGGTAGTGTATAGATGGGTGAGAAAAAATATAAATTGAATCCATTCTGAATTCAGGCAGTAACAACAAAATGTGGAGTAAGTCAGGGGGTATGAATACTTTCTGAAGGCACTAACTATCTGATAGGGGTGTGCATTTTAAAAAATGTGTTATTTTATATTTTTACAAATGTCTATTCAAAGCTTTTATCCTTAAGCAAGCAAAGTATGAATACAGCTAATAAAAATAAAGGATAATTTTTACCTCCTTACTTTACATGATAAAATAAACACTTTTTGGACCCCTTCAAAAATGGGGGTATTAAAATATTTGACATTTGTATCACAAATCAATGTAAGGAGACCAAAAAAAATGTAAAAACTGTACAAAAATGATAAAATTCATTTTTAAAAGTATTGTGACCAAATGATGCAAATTTAGATTATCGTTTTTGTTTTGTCATGGTGAAGGACCATAAAACCTAACTGAATGGAGTTCAGAGTTCAGAATTCGAAGTTCATTTCTTCTGCTGGATGTAATTGAGGTTGACATGATGTCGTCCGTGGGGGAGGAGCGGAAAATGCTGACTGGGGTGCACCACAGAACCTGGGGCGGAGCCAAGACAAACAAGGAAGTAAAGTTAACTGCTGTAGGGGCATTTTTGTAAGATCTAAGGCGTAAATTATTTTGATTACATTTAGTTAAAAAAAGTAATACTAAATGAGAGGTGGCATCCTAGCAGTATGTGTCCTAGCAGTACGTCTCTTGACCCTGTGTCCGTCTCTCTCTCGCTCTCTCCGAGCCTTTTACCTTGGGACATGAAGGGCTTGCCGGGTTGTGGGTAGCCCCCGTTGCCCTGCTGGATGAAGTTCTGTGGCATGTGGTAGGGCCAGGACTGGGACTGGGAGTAGTGGGCCGCATTGCTGTGCTCCCAGGTCCTAGAGCCCTGCTGGCTCACACCCCCGAACTGGGTCTGGTAGCCCGGATCTGCAGGGAGAGGGAGGGAGGAATGGATGGAGAGGAGAGGTCTTCAAATTCGGTACAGCAAAACATCATTGGAAAATTGAAACAAGAAACTCAGCCAACCACAATTTGATAAAATCCTTCTGTCCCAGCACCAGTTTTTTGTGAACAGTGAATTAAGTGTGTAGCCAAAACCACTGGTGTCTCTTACCTGACCACACAATCAGCACCATTAACAGGGAAACAGACAGTTACTGCTAAAGACTACCTGAACAAGGACAGAATCTGACCACAGTTAGTCAGACAAATAAACAAAGACGTGGACAGACTGACCGTTACAACTGACACAGACAGTCACAGATAACACAGACAGACAGTGCCACCCAGTGTGTACCTGACTTGCCCACAGTGCCGTTAGCCACCAGTGCCCCTTGCTGTGCCAGGTGGTTGTGCCAGTGCCCGTCCAGTCCCGGCCCTCCTCCCAAGCCCATGGGCCTCCCCGCCGGCTGGGCGAAGATGATGCTGGGGTCGTTGAGGTTCATGGGGCTGCCACCCACCGGAGACCCCCCTGGGCCTGTGTTCCCATTCCCTGGCCCGGGGGTCTGGCGCAAGGGGAATTTTAGGCTGGGCGGGGAGGGCCCTCTGGGGCCGCTGGAGGTCTGGAGGACGGGGCCGTGGATGGGCCAGGAGGTGGAGGGGTGGTGGGGTTGGTGATGGGCCTGGTGCCCCTGGGACAGGTGTGATTGGTGCTGGTTGTGGTGGGACGGCAGCAGCCCCAGAGCAGTGAGAGCTCCAGGGTGGTGGTACTGGTTTGGGTGGGAGTGGGAGGGAGGGAAGCTGAAGAGAGAGAGGGGAACCTGGGGGTGTTGGGGCTGCTTCTGGGGTCCCCCTCCAGCAGAGATGGAGGTCTTGGAGGAGGAGGACTGGGGGGAGCTGGAACCCTGGGAGAACGGGGTGGGCTGAGGGGAATAGGGTGGAGTCTGGTGGGAATCAGACTGGACAGAGAGACCGAGAGAGCAGTTGGAGAGACAGCAAGGGAGCAGGGGAAGGAGGTAGTGGGAAAGACAGGAAGAAAGATTTTGAAAGAAATCAATAAAAAAAAAAAAATCATCATACATACAGGTCTGTATTGATTCATAAAGAAGATAGCTGCAACAGTACTGGCTAAGGGAGAGACAGAAAATGGCCTGTTGTACTCACACATTCGGAAGGTTGTCTGGTGCGTCCAGGTCGGTCGTGGGGAGGTTGGGGGATGGGGATGGACTGGGAGCTTACCATGGCTCGCACTATGTGGGAAACTGGAGGAAACAGAGAAACCAACAACCACATACACTCAGTCCCACTGCTGCCCTCAGTTGGGCAGTACTAGTAATGACAAAATACAGGGCTTCAATCATGAATTAGTTACTGTACACATAGCTGGTAAATACTCTTGCTGTGATCCACTAGCTCAGATAAAAAAACCAAATACATTGTGGACCACTCAAATAAAGTTGAGCCACTAAAAACAATCATAGTCAGACTTGGTACAGTATTTTCTTTGTTATCAGTTATTATTATACATTATGTCGTCTGTAAAAAACTAAGTACAGTAGATAAAAGGACATTGAGGTGTGTGTGTGTGTGTGTGTACCTTGTCCCCCTGCAGCTTTCTGTCTAAGGTGGCGGTAGTCTGGGCAGTCCCTCCGTACATGACCAATGTCACCACACTGGAAACAGCGACGCTCCCGTGGCTCATGCTCGTCGCCATCCTTGACATCCTCCTCTTTTTCGTTCTCCTTCTTCTTCATCCCCCTGTTCGGACAAAAGACACGCACACGGAAACAGAAATGGAGGATTAGTTAAATCAAACATGGAGCCACCACCCGACTTAAGTTCAAATACTATATACTATGCCTGTTGCAATAGAACCAACAGACAAAAGTGCAAACCCGTCACACCTGGCACTCCAAGCAGGCTAAAGCAAACACTCAAAGTATTTAAAATGTTTTAAATAGTATTTGAACCCAGGTCTGCACACACACACACACTTGTTCCAAAAAAAACTCACTGTTCTCTCCCAGTGTACCTGCGTCTCTTGGGGCAGTCCTTCATGTAATGGCCGATCTTGCCACAGATCCGACAGCACCTGTCATTAGGTGCCAGCTCCCCGTCCGTGAGCACCTTGGAGTCAAAGAAGTAGTTCTGTACCACAGAAGAAAACATTACGTTAGACATGAGAAAAGATCTTCCTTAGACAAATGGAATCATTTGATATGCGTTCATAAATGCAACTCAACAGTGTCAGGGTAACAATGCCCATACTAACAACGTGTTTCAGAGTGCCGATCTTGGATCAGGTCCCACTCTTATTCATTATCGTTTCAAATGGCAAAAACGATCCTATACCAGCACACATACTCTAAGACTCTTTGTGAAGACAGTCCTATATCTAATGTTTGTCATACCGCCTCCATGCCAGGCTGGGGGTAGAAGGGAGTACCAAACAGCTTCCTGCCGTTGATAAAGGCCTTCATGATAAAGTTAGTCACTGAGGCGAGACAGAGAAGGGGTGTGTTAGGGACCATGATCACTGAAATACTAGAGACAACACCAAATTGGCCTGATAAGGATTACTTAGGAGACATAGTTCACTTACTTTTGCGAGAAACTCCAGCACCAAGATTGTGATTCAAGTCAAAGGGATCTAAGGAAAACAAAAAGTAAGTTGTCAGTGATCAAATCGGTCCTTTCATCATAACAACCATGTGAGTGAGAAAGATAGTTTCACTACCTTCGATTGCGATGCACTTGGAGGTCCACTGCTTCTCAAAGGTGGTGAGTCGTTTCCTCTGACGGATGCTGATGACGTGCTCCTTAAAGTCAAACTCCTCAGTGTAGAACCTGAGCAGGCCCAGCCACAGCTCCCCCACAGACTCACTGTTCTGCTGCAGCTCTGGCAGACGACGACGCTACGTCAACGGATAGTGAGCTTTATTATATTCACAACGGTTAGAGAATGCTTTGGCTACAATAACTAGTAAGCAAAACAACACGCGTATTCAAGGTAATCATTCAAGGTCATAATTTAGGAGAAGCAGGCATGTAGGATGTTACATTCAGTAGTGTTGATGACTCAACAACTCACCAGTTCCTCAATGTCATCAAAGAAGAAGGCATTCCAACCATCCACTATCCTCTGTGGTACAGAATGTCCATCAAAGACCTAAGGAACCAATCAACATTGGGTTATTTCCTTAACATTTTATAATTGCTTTTACAAAGACTTTCAGCATGTTCTGTTGGTGTCGGCCTACGTCCATAGAGACAGGCTATAACAGTATCCACTTTGGGGTTGGAAAAGGGTTAACAGAGGGTAAGTGAACAGTACCTCTTGGAGAACAGGAATGACGGGGGGCTGTCTCTGCTGCAGGTAGTAGAGAACCATGAGGATGTAGGCGTAGGACGACAGACTTCCTCTGGACGCGTCACCTATGTCACAGCGCTTTGCAAACACCTTCATGGTGTATCCCAGGAACTGCACGCGAGGGTCTAGAGCAGCGTAGGTAGCCAGCATTCTGGTGTTGTGTTGAGCCTGGAAGAGAGGACAGATGCCAATGAATCCATTCAGATGCATGTATTTAATTGCTTAAGCAAGTATGTTGATAACAGCAACTTAGCTTGAGTTACAAAGGACCTGTTAGCCATTGACTGTCCCTTACCAGTCCCTTTACTCACCAGAGTGTTGTAGAGGCTTATGTCTGCCTCCAGTCCGCTCTGTCTGTGTTCAAACTTCACAATAGGCACTTTGGCTGTTGTGATAGGCAGGATGTTCCTCAGACCTGACAGGGGAAAACACAGGTTAATCAATCACCAAGTCACAAAATATGACTGTCTACACTGTACTCATATCAAGCAGTCAAACCTTGCATTCTGAAAGGAGTTCCAATGTAATGTGCTGTGGGAGAACCTGTCTCGTACCTGTGTGCTTCTTTAGCACCTTGGCTAGGCCTTCGATGATCTCTTTGCAGTTCAACTTCTGTTGAGTAGAGGTAGACAGATATACATCTCAGAATGACTAGGGAGATGAGATCAGACAAAGAACTGAAGGCTAAGTTCAAAATGTCAAAATGGGTGCCGGTCTAGTGCGTCCATGTACCTCTGCTGTATCATGGCCCTCCAGGGTCATGCAGATGTCCAGATCGCTGTCACGGAAACCAAAGCCGTTCTTGGAGGAGCCAAACAAACACAGCTGGGCATGGTCTGTAAAATGAGATCATAGATGTTTTATAATACCATACTGAAGTGGTACTCCAATGTATAGGAAGTTCCGTATTCCTTTACATTACTGTTATCTCAGCTGTTACATATGCAACTCAGTACGTACCATTGTACTCCTTTTGTATGAACCTCTCCAGACTACCCATGATCTGCTCTCTCTTCTGCTGCTCTCCAAGGGAAGGGGCCAGCTCATCTACAAACACAACAGACATTTAACAAAAGTCACACAAAAATGATATTTAGCGTGCTTGAGAATTCCTATTTGTGTCTATATTAATATTTAAGTCTATATACTGTTTGTAACAGTGTAGGGTTAAAGACACCTGTCTTAGCTCCATAATATAGAAGATATGCTCTGACAAAATCTGGACAAATCACTCAAACTCCTTCCAAGATGGCAGAATAATGTTGAACAGCAGATGACTTACGGTAGCAGAGTCTACAAAGGCCATCCAGGATGTCTCTGAAGCGGTCGGTCATGGGGGGCAGCGGTTTGAGCTCGATCTTCTTGAAGTCCTCAGGACACTCGTCCTTCAGATGGCCATCTCTCTTACAGGTGCTGCACACAACTGTAGGAGGCTGCAGGGGAGAGAATCAAATAATAAAGATGATTGACATGTTGGAAAGCAGAACCTGTGAACATCCAAATGACCAGAAACTCATTGAGATAAGATAATACCTGAAAACTATGGTAAAGACCTGCTTTTTCATCAACTTTAAGCCAAATCTATTTGAGTCAAACTATTACATTTATGGCAAAGGAGTTCTGGAACTTATATAAAGATATATAAAATGTGCTGTCAAATCAGTTCTAGAATTGACATTGTCCATTGGAAAACAAGTTTGATGAGTGGAAAGGTATCACAGGGGTTATGCATTACCTTTCCACCAGTGAAAATCATTCTGTCAAAGATATAGTGCAGGTCCTCCGGTGCAATATGTCCCTGCTTGTCCGACACATGGTTCTCCTCCTCATCCTCATCCAGTAGGCCGTTATGGGTTGAGGCGGAGGAAGGCTCCAGGATGGTGCCAGGCTCAGCTCCAGCCCCATCCGTAGAACTGCCCCCCTCGCTGAGGACCAAGTCCATAAGGCCGCCATTCAATGCCCTCTCCTCCTTCTCCTGAGCCCGCTCAGCTCTTTCTTCTTCATCACTCTCACCATTCTCCTTCTGTCCCGTCTCAGAGCTCTGACTTTTACCTTCCTTCCCAACGCCCTCTCCACCTCCACTCTTTTCAGACCCCTCTTCTCCACCCTTCCTTTCTCCCTCCTCCTGTTTCATGCCCCCATGTTTGGTTGGCTTCGTACCTCTCTGGTGCACCCCGGTGTTTCTGTCCTTGCTCTGTGGGCAGGCAAAGTATTTGTAGGCGGTGCGGAAGCGCTCCTGGATGTACTCAAAGACCATCTGACTGTTGAGGCTGCGTGCGACGTTCCTCTTCAGGGCAAACGGATCTGAGAGAAGAGGAAATGGAGGATCACGACTTGAAAGGTGGTAGTGGTGTGTAGAAACTCACTAAGAGAAATCTAACCATGAAAAATAGTCCCTTCTGACCTTTCCACCACATAACTTTAACCTATTAACACCTAGTACATCAGAAGGCTCACTGAGGGAGACAAATTGTAAGGACAAAATAGGTAACAAAGGAGGGGAGCTAGTCATACATAAAAATGTATCGTGTAGAACAAACCTGATTGTCTGTCATGTAGAATAGAGGGATCATCTCAGCTCTATTCATTACGTTTCCTTCTGCAACTTTCTGAACGTTTCATCTCTCTGAATACACCCTCTCGCTTACCCTCGATGGCCAGTCTGCGCCGGGGCCAGTTCTTCATCTCTCTGGAGAGAAGTTCTTTGAGGCGGATGCTGATTATGTGTTCATCCAGGGCGAACTCCAGCGTGTAGAACCTCAGCAGCTCCAGCCACAGCTGGCCCAGGGACACACCCTTACCCAGGTCCAGGGATAGACGCGTCTGGGAGGGACAGAGAGAGGGAAATACACTATGTCAGATGTGACATAGGCTTAGTTCAGGAAGCTACATAAAAAGCATTCCGATTCTTGAAAGCCATAGTTATGGTCACATTCTCTCCTCGTTCACTCCCCTTCATGGATTAATTATTTATGAAAGGTGTCATTAAGCGTTCCCAATAGACTGGTGTCAGAATTCCCTCTTGCTAGCTTATGCAAACCAATCCAATAAATCCATGAAGGGGGGAGTGAGCAAGTGTACACTTCTGGGAAAAGTGGAGAAAAATCAGAACTCGACCATAGCGTGCGTGTGCTGTTTGCAGAGCCCTGCTTTTGGGACTAGATCCCTCCCCTCCCAGACTACTCACCATCCCCGCTACATGCCGGTTCTTCACATCAGGTTTCTTTTGCTCAGGCTTGGCCTTCCGTCCTTCCCCCCTGCCGTCCCCCCGTCCCTCTGTACTGGGGGGTCGGTGCTCCCACCCCACAAATATATCCATCTCTATCCCCGTCAGATGGTACTCATCCACATGCTTCACATCAAAGCCTTCAATCTGAAACAGAACACAACATAGTCTCGCTATCAACAACAGAAAATGGAGAGAGAAAAAACCCAGCAACATGTTATGACTTGTCACCTGAAAGTAATGCATTAACTTCAAATGTGCCTGTCATAATGGTGACCAGTTCTATAAAATGATCAAATGTGTGATAAAGAGAACAACGTCCATTCTAGTTATTATATTTCTGTGGTGTCACCTACCCAGTAGCCGAAGTAGACAGGGAGGATGGGCTCCCTGCGTTGTTGGAGGAAGAAGATGACCATGAGGGAGAAGGAGTAGGATGGGATGCCCCCTTCCGCCTGGCAGTCAATGTGGCACAACTAGAGGAACAGAAACAACCAAATATAGAATTATCTTTACTTCATCTGGTAAGTCATTGACAACACATTCTCTCTGGTCAGCGGCTGTTGGTATCATTAAAACAACTAAAGCTACAGTATGCAATGGTATGTCGAGCCATCATGTCATTGACTCATTACAATGAAAACCACACACACGTTTTACTTTCTACTTCTCACAAATACAGTAAACTTTAAGAACTGTTGGCATGAAGAGGTTTAGGTTAAGTCAGCAAAGGCCTGAACATTGAAAAAGTGCAATTATCAAAAGCACTAGATACAGTGGGGAAAAAAAGTATTTAGTCAGCCACCAATTGTGCAAGTTCTCCCACTTAAAAAGATGAGAGAGGCCTGTAATTTTCATCATAGGTACACGTCAACTATGACAGACAAAATGAGAAAAAAAAAATCCAGAAAATCACATTGTAGGATTTTTAATGAATTTATTTGCAAATTATGGTGGAAAGTAAGTATTTGGTCAATAACAAAAGTTTCTCAATACTTTGTTATATACCCTTTGTTGGCAATGACACAGGTCAAACGTTTTCTGTAAATCTTCACAAGGTTTTCACACACTGTTGATGGTATTTTGTCCCATTCCTCCATGCAGATCTCCTCTAGAGCAGTGATGTTTTAGGGCTTTCGCTGGGCAACACGGACTTTCAACTCCCTCCAAAGATTTTCTATGGGGTTGAGATCTGGAGACTGGCTAGGCCACTCCAGGACCTTGAAATGCTTCTTACGAAGCCACTCCTTCGTTGCCCGGACGGTGTGTTTGGGATCATTGTCATGCTGAAAGACCCAGCCACGTTTCATCTTCAATGCCCTTGCTGATGGAAGGAGGTTTTCACTCAAAATCTCACGATACATGGCCCCATTCATTCTTTCCTTTACACGGATCAGTCGTCCTGGTCCCTTTGCGGAAAAACAGCCCCAAAGCATGATGTTTCCACCCCCATGCTTCACAGTAGGTATGGTGTTATTTGGATGCAACTCAGCATTCTTTGTCCTCCAAACACGACGAGTTTAGTTTTTACCAAAAAGTTATATTTTGGTTTCATCTGACCATATGACATTCTCCCAATCCTCTTCTGGATCATCCAAATGCACTCTAGCAAACTTCAGACGGCCTGGACATGTACTGGCTTAAGCAGGGGGACACGTCTGGCACTGGAGGATTTGAGTCCCTGGCGGCGTAGTGTGTTACTGATGGTAGGCTTTGTTACTTTGGTCCCAGCTCTCTGCAGGTCATTCACTAGGTCCCCCCGTGTGGTTCAGGGATTTTTGCTCACCGTTCTTGTGATCATTTTGACCCCACGGGGTGAGATCTTGCGTGGAGCCCCAGATCGAGGGAGATTATCAGTGGTCTTGTATGTCTTCCATTTCCTAATAATTGCTCCCACAGTTGATTTCTTCAAACCAAGCTGCTTACCTATTGCAGATTCAGTCTTCCCAGCCTGGTGCAGGTCTACAATTTTGTTTCTGGTGTCCTTTGACAGCTCTTTGGTCTTGGCCATAGTGGAGTTTGGAGTGTGACGGTTTGAGGTTGTGGACAGGTGTCTTTTATACTGATAACAAGTTCAAACAGGTGCCATTAATACAGGTAACGAGTGGAGGACAGAGGAGCCTCTTAAAGAAGAAGTTACAGGTCTGTGAGAGCCAGAAATCTTGCTTGTTTGTAGGTGACCAAATACTTATTTTCCACCATAATTTGCAAATAAATTCATAAAAAATCCTACAATGTGATTTTCTGGAAATAAAAATCTATATTTGTCTGTCATAGTTGACGTGTACCTATGATGAAAATTACAGGCCTCTCTCATCTTTTTAAGTGGGAGAACTTGCACAATTGGTGGCTGACTAAATACTTTTTTTCCCCACTGTAGATACCATTTACATCATATGATTGCATACTATCCATAAAAGAGAAGGTCCTCCAAGCCAGCCTTACCTTAGCCCAGAGGCGGAAGGCCAGGACCAGAGGCACCAGTCTGGGTTCCAGTCTAGCCAGGGCAGCCAGGTGGTTGCTAGTGAGGCAGGCTACGTCATTACCTGCACTCACCTTGCACAACAACCTACTGCGGAGATACAACACACTCATCAGGGTTGTATTCATTAGGCACCAAACTGAAGAAAACTGACTGAAACCGAGAGGGGCTACCTGAACTTGTCCAATAAGAAACTCTCATTTTTGTTTTCTGTTGCAAAATGTTTTGCTATAATGTGCCCAGTAAAGAAAACCACCCAGCAACCAGTAACTCAGAGGATATTTCAAACAGTAGTAGGTTGTAAATAGGTGACAGTAGAGCTAATAGAAAGCAGTAGAGTTGACATTCCACTGACCTCTTGACATCTCTGCAAAACACTACCGGAACTTTGGCGTGAAAGTCAGACTCCACCTCAGAATATTCAGCTGTAAAGGGAAAGGTGACCATTCTTTGACTGCTCCCAAACTCAAAGACAACAACATTATCTACTGGCTGGCTCCCCAACTGATATACTGTAACTTCTGAAAAAGATTGTTTAATCTACACTACCGGTCAAAAGTTTTAGAACACCTACTCATTCAAGGGTTTTTCTTTATTTTTACTATTTTCTACATTGTAGAATAATAGTGAAGAAATAAACTATGAAATAACACATATGGAATCATGTAGTAACCCAAAAAGTGTTAAACAAATCAAAATATATTTATAGTGGTCCTCTGTAGCTCAATTGGTAGAGCATGGCGCTTGTAACGCCAGGGTAGTGGGTTCAATCCCCAGGACCACCCATACGTAGAAATGTATGCACACATGACTGTAAGTCACTTTGGATAAAAGCGTCTGCTAAATGGCATATTATTATTATTATTATTATTATTATTATTATTATTATATATTTGAGATTATTCAAATACCCACCCTTTGCCTTGATGACAGCTTTGCACACTCTTGGCATTCTCTCAACCAGCTTCACCTGGAATGCTTTTCTAACAGTCTTGTTGAAGGACTTCCCACATATGCTGAGCACTTGTTGGTTGCTTTTCCTTCACTCTGCGGTCCGACTCATCCCAAACCATCTCAATTTGGTTGAGGTCGGGGGATTGCGGAGGCCAGGTCATCTGATGCAGCACTCCAACACTCTCCTTCTTGGTAAAATAGCCCTTACACAGCCTGGAGGTGTGTTGGGTCATTGTCCTGTTGAAAAACAAATGACAGTCCCACTAAGCCCAAACCAGATGGGATGACGTATCGCTGCAGAATGCTGTGGTAGCCATGCTGGTTAACTGTGCCTTGATTTCTAAATAAATCACAGGCAACGTCACCAGCAAAGCACCCCCACACCATAACACCTCCTCCTCCATGCTTTACGGTGGGAAATACACATGCGGAGATCATCCGTTCACCCACACCGTGTCTCACAAAGATTGGAACCAAAAATCTCCAATTTGGACTCTAGACCAAAGGACACATTTCCACCAGTCTAATGTCCATTGCTCGTGTTTCTTGACCCAAGCAAGTCTCTTCATCTTATTGGTGTCCTTTAGTAGTGGTTTCTTTGCAGCAATTCGACCATGAAGGCCTGATTCACACAGTCTCCTCTTAACAGTTGATGTTGAGATGTGTCTGTTACTTGATCTCTGTGAAGCATTTATTTGGGCTGCAATTTCTGGGGCTGGTAACTCTAATGAACTTATCCTCTGCAGCAGAGGTAACTCTGGGTCTTCCATTCCTGTGGCGGTCTTCATGAGAGTCAGTTTCATCATGGCGCTTGATGGTTTTTGCGACAGCACTTGAAGAAACGTTCAAAGTTCTTGAAATGTTCCGTATTGACTGACCTTCATGTCTTAAAGTAATGATGGACTGTCATTTCCCTTTGCTTATTTGAGCTGTTCTTACCATAATATGGACTTGGTCTTTTACCAAATAGGGCTATCTTCTGTATACCCCACTACCTTGTCACAACACAACTGATTAGCGCAAACGCATTAAGGAGGAAAGAAATTCCACAAATTAACTTTTAACAAGGCACACCTGTTAATTGAAATGCATTCCAGGTGACTACCTCATGAAGCTGGTTGAGAGAATGCCAAGAGTGTGCAAAGCTGTCATCAATGCAAAGGGTGGCTATTTGAAGAATCTCAAATATAAAATATATTTTGATTTATTTAACCGTTTTTTGGTTACTACATGATTCCATATGTGTTATTTCATAGTTTTGATGTCTTCACTATTATTCTACAATGTAGAAAATAGATAGTAAAAATAAAGAAAAACCCTTGAATGAGTAGGTTTGTCCAAACTTTTAACTGGTAGTGTAATTTCCCAAAGGGGGTTGTATTAAAACCACTGTGCATTAGTTTCAGTTTTCTATAAATGTTCTGTTTTCATAACGTTATTCATTCAAGGAGGTTAATATGGACTCTCCAGTCTGACACAGAACTCAGTACAGCTCTACTCTGCCCTGCTCTGGCCTGTGGGCTGGAACAAAGACCTCACTGACTCTGTCTGGTGCCACAACACAATCCTCCTTATGCCGACTCGACAATCGCTCTCTACACTGACTGAGTGTGTGTGTTTATTCATGCAGCGCTGTTCAACACTCACTGCTGTTCTTCAGGATTTCCAGTACTAGTATCAGCACATCTGGTTGGGTCATCTGGCGAGACAAAAACAGCATGACATTTGTTAGTCAGGGTCAGGGCATCAAAGTTGATCATATCAAATTCAATCAAATCTTTTCATTAGGAGCGTAAAAATTCGGTGAACTCTGTTCGGTCCGCACTGTGAACCCAAAAAAAATGTATGTACAACATTTAAACACTAGACCTATAGGCTATGCCTACGCTGCGTTGTACACCGCTAGTAAGTCTGGGCTGACAAAAACATTTCAGGCTATTCCGTTAAAACTAGAGCCTATGAACAAGTTGTAATCAAAATTCAAATCTTAATTGGCGTATTTCAAACTGTCCTTTTGTGAGGCGCAGCCGGGAACTAGTTCTGTTTCAGCACCTTGTGAAAGGGCTCGAGCCACGTTATGAACTTCGTCCTCTCTCACCCATTTCAGCAAACAGGTAGTACTCTATATAAGCAAGCTAAAGTTGTCAATGAATTGGCCAATGCACTCTGTGTTGCGCTTACTACAAATGGATGGACATCCATGGCTACAGAGAGCTACAGTGGGGAAAAAAAGTATTTAGTCAGCCACCAATTGTGCAAGTTCTCCCACTTAAAAAGATGAGAGGCGCCTGTAATTTTCATCATAGGTACACGTCAACTATGACAGACAAATTGAGAAAAAAAATCCAGAAAATCACATTGTAGGATTTTTAATGAATTTATTTGCAAATGATGGTGGAAAATAAGTATTTGGTCACCTACCAACAAGCAAGATTTCTGGCTCTCACAGACCTGTAACTTCTTAAGAGGCTCCTCTGTCCTCCACTCGTTAACTGTATTAATGGCACCTGTTTGAACTTGTTATCAGTATAAAAGACACCTGTCCACAACCTCAAACAGTCACACTCCAAACTCCACTATGGCCAAGACCAAAGAGCTGTCAAAGGACACCAGAAACAAAATTGTAGACCTGCACCAGGCTGGGAAAGACTGAATCTGCAATAGGTATGCAGCTTGGTTTGAAGAAATCAACTGTGGGAGCAATTATTAGGAAATGGAAGACATACAAGACCACTGATAATCTCCCTCGATCTGGGGCTCCACGCAAGATCTCACCCCGTGGGGTCAAAATGATCACAAGAACGGTGAGCAAAAATCCCAGAACCACACGGGGGGACCTAGTGAATGACCTGCAGAGAGCTGGGACCAAAGTAACAAAGCCTACCATCAGTAACACACTACACCGCCAGGGACTCAAATCCTGCAGTGCCAGACGTGTCCCCCTGCTTAAGCCAGTACATGCCCAGGCCCGTCTGAAGTTTGCTAGAGTGCATTTGGGTGAATGTCATATGGTCAGATGAAACCAAAATAGAACTTTTTGGTAAAAACTAAACTTGTCGTGTTTGGAGGGCAAAGAATGCTGAGTTGCATCCAAAGAACACCATACCTACTGTGAAGCATGGGGGAGGAAACATCATGCTTTGGGGCTGTTTTTCTGCAAAGGGACCAGGACGACTGATCCGTGTAAAGGAAAGAATGAATGGGGCCATGTATCGTGAGATTGAGTGAAAACCTCCTTCCATCAGCAAGGGCATTGAAGATGAAACGTGGCTGGGTCTTTTCAGCATGACAATGATCCCAAACACACCGCCCGGGCAACGAAGGAGTGGCTTCGTAAGAAGCATTTCAAGGTCCTGGAGTGGCCTAGCCAGTCTCCAGATCTCAACCCCATAGAAAATCTTTGGAGGGAGTTGAAAGTCCGTGTTGCCCAGCGACAGCCCCAAAACATCACTGCTCTAGAGGAGATCTGCATGGAGGAATGGGCCAAAATACCAGCAACAGTGTGTGAAAACCTTGTGAAGACTTACAGAAAACATTTGACCTGTGTCATTGCCAACAAAGGGTATATAACAAAGTATTGAGAAACTTTTGTTATTGACCAAATACTTATTTTCCACCATAATTTGCAAATAAATTCATTTAAAAATCCTACAATGTGATTTTCTGGAAAAAATTTTTTTTCTCATTTTGTCTGTCATAGTTGACGTGTGTGTACCTATGATGAAAATTACAGGCCACTCATCTTTTTAAGTGGGAGAACTTGCACAATTGGTGGCTGACTAAATACTTTTTTTCCCCCACTGTACTTAACAGTGACAGCACATCACATTACCCCGGAGTGGGAAATTAGAATTACAGTGCATTCGGAAAGTATTGACTTTTTCCACATTTTGCTACGTTACAGCCTTATTCTAAAATGGATTCAATTGTTTTTTTCTCCCCCTTATCAATCCACACACAATACCTCATAAAGACCAATCAGAAACAGGTTAAGACATTTTTGCTAATTCATTAAAAATAAAAAACTGAAATATTACATTTACATTAGTATTCAGACCCTTTATTCAGTACTTTGTTGACGCACCTTTGGCAGCGATTACAGCCTCGAGTCTTCTTGGGTATGATGCTACAAGCTTGGCACACCTGTATTTGGGGAGTTTCTCTCATTCTTCTCTGCAGATGCTCTCAAGCTCTGTCAGGTTGGAGGGTGAGCGTCGCTGCATAGCTTTTTTCAGGTCTCTCAAGAGATGTTCCATCGGGTTCAAGTCCGAGCTCTGGCTGGGTCACTCAAGGACATTCAGAGACTTGTCCCGAAGCCGAAACTGCGTTGTCTTGGCTGTGTGCTTAGGTTTGTTGTCCTGTTGGAAGGTGAACCTTCGCCCTTGTCTGAGGTTCTGAGCGCTCTGGAGCAGGTTTTCATCAAGGATCTCTTTGTACTTTGCTCCGTTCATCTTTCCCTCGATCCTGACTGGTCTCCCAGTCCCTGCCGCTGAAAAACATCCCCACAGCATGATGCTGCCACCACCATGCTTCACCGTAGGGATGGTGCCAGGTTTCCTCCAGACGTGACGCTTGGCATTCAGGCCAAAGAGTTCAATCTTGGTTTCATCAGACCAGAGAATCTTGTTTCTCATGGTCAGAGTCCTTTAGGTGCCTTTTGGCAAACTCCAAGTGGGCTGTCACATGCCTTTTACTGAGGAGTGGCTTCTGTCTGGCCACTCTAATTGGTGGAGTGCTGCAGAGATAGTTGTCCTTCTGGAAGGTTCTCCCATCTCCACTGAGGAACTCTGGAGCTCTGTCAAGAGTGACCATCAGGTTCTTGGTCACCTCCCTGACCAAGGCCCTTCTCTCCCGATTGCTCAGTTTGGCCGGACGGCCAGCTCTAGGAAGAGTCTTGGTGGTTCCAAACTTCTTCCATTTAAGAATGATAGAGGCCACTGTGTTCTTGGGGACCTTCAATGCTGCAGACATTTTTTGGTACCCTTCCCCAGGTCTGTGCCTTGACACAATCCTGTCTCTGAGCTCTACGGACAATTCTTTTGACAACATGGCTTGGTTTTTGCTCTGACATGCACGGTCAACTGTGGGACCTTATATAGACAGGTGTGTGCCTTTCCAAATCATGTCCAATCAATTGAATTTACCACAGGTGGACTCCAATCAAGGCGTAGAAACATCAATCATGATCAATGGAAACAGGATGCACCTGAGCTCAATTTCGAGTCTCATAGCAAAGGGTCTGAATACTTATGTTAATAAGGTATTTCTGTGTTTTATTTTTTCTGAAAACCTGTTTTCACTTGTCATTATGGGGTAGTGTGTAGATTGATGAGGAAAAATTAATAATTGTATCCATTTTAGAATAAGGCTGTAACGTAACAAAACGTGGAAAAAGTCAAGGAGCCTGAATACTTTCCGAATGCACTGTACATGCTACAGCCACGGACCCTTTATGAGAATCACACAAGTGTGCATACTTTTCTCTTTGTAAGAACGCATTATAGCATAGGCCTGCACAATGTCTGAGCCATGATTACATATTGATTTCACACGCATATTGCACTTTATTTTAGTGTTGTTGTTGATGAGTAATCATGTTTTCATTTAAGAAAATACAAAGTATTGGTATTCCTGATTGTGGTGTCAGGCATTATGACTAATGATCATATATGGAATCAGGAATACAGTTGGCATTCATGTTCACGCTGTACCGAAACCAAACCGTAACCCCAAATTCACAATATACTGAACTGTGGATTTGTTGAACCATTACACCACTAGTATTCATAAAGCCCTTTATTACATCAGCAGTCACAAAGTGATTTTACAGTGACTCCGGTCTAGACCCCAAAGAGCAAGCAGAAGTGGAGGCACATCATATTCATTCCACTGTTAATTGTGTTTTGTTTTACAGTGTCCTGTTTAGGAGTCCAATAATTCACAGGTACTTGGATCCTCTTAATTAATAAGCATAGCCAATCAGTTAAATCCTATCCAAGACAATCATGTTGAAGAGCAATCAGGGATCTTCTGATACAGACTGACATTGAGGTGATGATGCAAACCAAGGCTGTGTCCCAATAGTATTGAATAGCCTCCTTCCCTTATTTGCCTACATTGATTACCACTGATGTAACTTAACTCCAAAGATACGTCTTAAAACTAACAACAATTTGATGTGCACGCACTTTGCATTTATATAACTTGCATTAGTGGTTAGGTGAGGACACAGCAAAGACTTACAGTGGAGGGGTAGGTGACGTCAATGTTAATGTCACTTGTCTTGAAGGCAAATCGGGTGAGACAGGAGCCGTAGAGCCGAAGGGAGCAAACTGGAAAAGAAACACCAAAAGCCATACATTAAACAGCATTATACATGATTCAATCATATAATCTCCCTACTAGTGTTGTCACAATACCAACATTTCACTCATGATATCATACCAGTGTAGTATCGCGATACCACTAGGGAAAATGTCAGAGTGGCCTAGCGTCCTGTTCGCCCCGTTCCCCAGACACCTGTTCCCTTTTTCAAAATGTTCTGCGGATGTGCTACACAAACACCAGTCACTGATATTCACAATTCTACTCAATACAACACATTGAACTGAACCTTACACTGTTCAGTGTATAATATAATACAGCATAAAATTGCTAATTTTCTCATGTTTTCAAAAGGCCTACCTGTAATTTGGCAGGAGAAATGGGAGGAAGGAATATGAATTAGGGCTGGGCAATATATCAAATTAATTAGATTAATTAAAATGTATGTTTTTGCGCGATATTCCAAATGCCTGTATCGCAGAATCAAGTACTTTTGTATTTTTCGTTTTTATGAGCGTTTACAGTGGGGAAAAAAAGTATTTAGTCAGCCACCAATTGTGCAAGTTCTCCCACTTAAAATGATGAGAGAGGCCTGTAATTTTCATCATAGGTACATGTCAACTATGACAGACAAAATGAGAAAAAACAATCCAGAAAATCACATTGTAGGATTTTTAATGAATTTATTTGCAAATTATGGTGGAAAATAAGTATTTGGTCAATAACAAAAGTTTCTCAATACTTTGTTATATACCCCTTGTTGGCAATGACACAGGTCAAACGTTTTCTGTAAGTCTTCACAAGGTTTTCACACACTGTTGCTGGTATTTTGGCACATTCCTCCATGCAGATCTCCTCTAGAGCAGTGATGTTTTGGGGCTGTCGCTGGGCAACACAGACTTTCAACTCCCTCCAAAGATTTTCTATGGGGTTGAGATCTGGAGACTGGATAGGCCACTCCAGGACCTTGAAATACTTCTTACGAAGCCACTCCTTCGTTGCCCGGGAGGTGTGTTTGGGATCATTGTCATGCTAAAAGACCCAGCCACGTTTCATCTTCAATGCCCTTGCTGATGGAAGGAGGTTTTCACTCAAAATCTCACGATACATGGCCCCATTCATTCTTTCCTTTACACGGATCAGTCGTCCTGGTCCCTTTGCAGAAAAACAGCCCCAAAGCATGAAGTTTCCACCCCCATGCTTCACAGTAGGTATGGTGTTCTTCGGATGCAACTCAGCATTCTTTGTCCTCCAAACACGACGAGTTGAGTTTTTACCAAAAAGTTATATTTTGGTTTCATCTGACCATATGACATTCTCCCAATCCTCTTCTGGATCATCCAAATGCACTCTAGCAAACTTCAGACGGGCCTGGACATGTACTGGCTTAAGCAGGGGGACACGTCTGGCAATGCAGGATTTGAGTCCCTGGCAGAGTAGTGTGTTACTGATGGTAGACTTTGTTACTTTGGTCCCAGCTCTCTGCAGGTCATTCACTAGGTCCCCCCGTGTGGTTCTGGGATTTTTGCTCACCGTTCTTGTGATCATTTTGACCCCACGGGGTGAGATTTTGCGTGGAGCCCCAGATCGAGGGAGATTATCAGTGGTCTTGTATGTCTTCCATTTCCTAATAATTGCTCCCACAGTTGATTTCTTCAAACCAAGCTGCTTACCTATTGCAGATTCAGTCTTCCCAGCCTGGTGCAGGTCTACAATTTTGTTTCTGGTGTCCTTTGACAGCTCTTTGGTCTTGACCATAGTGGAGTTTGGAGTGTGACTGTTTGAGGTTGTGGACAGGTGTCTTTTATACTGATAACAAGTTCAAACAGGTGCCATTAATACAGGTAACGAGTGGAGGACAAAGGAGCCTCTTAAAGAAGAAGTTACAGGTCTGTGAGAGCCAGAAATCTTGGTTGTTTGTAGGTGACCAAATACTTATTTTCCACCATAATTTGCAAAAAAAATCATAAAAAATCCTACAATGTGATTTTCTGGATTTTTTTTTCTCAATTTGTCTGTCATAGTTGACGTGTACCTATGATGAAAATGACAGGCCTCTCTCATCTTTTTAAGTGGGAGAACTTGCACAATTGGTGGCTGACTAAATACTTTTTTTCCCCACTGTATGTCCACTTGTTCTCATTTTGTATTTTTGGTCTCGTCTCTTTCGCTCCTTCTGTGCTGTGCACCTTCCCATTTACACCAGAGATCTGTATATAATGACGAGATGCTCATGTCTATGCCCTATGTGTCGTTGTCCCAAAGTTGGGAAGGCGGGTGTCAAGGTTCAAAATAAGCGCATAGAACCGCATTGGGCTTATTTTGGACATATTTTGGCGAGAGTGAAACCTCTCGCTTAGTCTCTTTCTCCCAAGCCCCTCAACTACCACTCACAACAAACAAAACAATTTGAGATCACTTCTTCCTCTCTGACACACGGTTTCAACTCTTTCAACTATTTGCATTTGGAGGTTTGGTCCAACAGAATCAGTCATATGGACACCGAAACACATGGAGACATTATTTTACTGTAATAGAGGAGAAGTTAACCTTTCGAACCATACCCTGTTTATGTTTCAACTCCTCAAATTTCGAGCAGAGCAGACACTACTAAAACGGATGTACCAATGAACATTCATTCTGGAAAATGAATGCTCAGTTTGTCGCGCGCACATTACAGTACCACGTATCGCTAGCAGCATTTTAGTCAAATAAAGATTGTTATACTAGCTGTTTAGTCTGTTTTATAATTGTGCAATAAGCATGAAACAATTATTTAAATAATTGGCAACTCGTTCTCATTCTGAGAAATAAGGTAGGCCACTTGATTTCAACATCTGAACAAAGTGGACAGGCTAGCATGCTGTTCAAAACAGTTGGAGACGGACAGTTGTGTTCATAACAATTCAACATTTTCCTTTTCAGCTGAATTCTGAGCTTGTGAAATTATACCTAGATCCAAGTTGGCTAAACTTGAAATATAAATATTAGCTGGCTACTCACTAGCACGTGGGCTTGTGCTTGAGAGATTGTTTATGAGACCGGTGTTAATTTTCTATAATGTTCTGGTTAAATTTGTAACAGAAAGGGCATTTTTATAGACAGACCTGAACGCCAGATCAGTGATTATTGCAAAATAAAGTAGGTACAACTATTTTGATAAAATAATTAAATGCTTAGTGGTCTTATGGTTGTGGAAGGCATATATTCAACCTAGGTATACTTTCACAAGCTCTGAATTCATTAGATTATTGCTGACTGTTTTAAATGCAGTGTATTGTACCTTTAATTGTACAACAAAGCATATTTAGAGAATTTTTTTAAAAAGTTTTTATTTTTTTAATAGAGATATATAATCGTGAATCGCCCATAAGTTTGGGGAAAAAATAGAGATATGAGTTTTGGGCCATATCATCCAGCCCTAATATGAATGCATAATGAACTGCATGTCATTGTGGCAGTAAGGGGAAAACACTGCATGAAACCATCTTTTACTTTTCAGTTAACCATACACACACACTCCCTCTCTCACCACTCTATATCTCCTACAAACACACACAGTTTGTTATCAAAACAATAATTAGCAGCCTGTGATTAGTTTAAAACGGCCCGCAACATGGTTTGTGAAATTATATCAATGTGCGCGAATCAATGCTAAAATTTTCTAAAGTAGGTCATATGTTTGAATGGTTTGGGCTAGACTAGGGCTAGACAGGCCGTTTTCTGTGTTGTAAAGCTGCGAGTATGCCTGTCGCAAAGCTGTGCAACATTTTTCCTCTCTGGCACTCAGAGGCTGCATGACAGTGAAACTTTCAAAGCCTCAGACTGGCATGTGCTCTTGGTTCTAACAGGCAATGAAATTATACACTATCAACTTTGCTTACGCTGCTCCAATGTATCAAATGTAACAACAGATGACTAATCAGGGACTGCATCACTGCTTGACATCACAGCTAAATTATAAATTAAAAACTGATGGGAGGAATAGATGAGCAGGAGAAATAGATTCGCAGAAAGAGCAGATGGAGAAGTAGGTGAGGTGCTGGTAGGGGGTGTGGCTGGCTGAGCACAGCTGCCACACTTGATATATGCGCATGAAAGTGAAGTGGACATTATTGGACCTGCACATACAAGAGAAAGACTAGCTGCTGTTGCTGAAAATGTTTCCTGTCATTATAAACATTTTATAACAGGCACCAGCAGAGACTAAATATTTGGTAGTATCATGTGAAACGGTACTTTCGTATTCTAAAAGGTTGGCATCATAAGTATTATGACGTTTTGGTACCATGATATTATTCCCTACTATTGTATTTTTATTTGTTTGTTGCCCCCCTGGGAACTTTTGCCATTCAGCCTATACTTACTAAAAGCTACTGATTTCACCCATTCAGACTTGGTCGATCAGAGGCCTAGATGACAGGAAGGAGACAGGAGGATCGGAAGAGATGGTTACCTGAGAGGTGCTGCTGGATGATCTCCTCCATCCTGTCGACCACTTCCTGTCGCACCAGGAAGTCCTGGTCTGAGATGCCGTGTTGTTGGGCAGCCCGGAGGACGGCTGCGTCAACGGCTCCAAGCTGGGCTGGGGAGGGGGCAGGCAGCGCCCGCAGCTCGTTCTCCTCCTGCTTATCCTAAAACAGTTACAGCACAGGGGAAAGGGACAAAGGCAGGGTGAATCCAAATCTCCTCTAATGTCCCGGTCTAATTGACTAGGGAGAATGTTGACAGCATTTGGAGTTTGGGGGGGGAGATACAAAATGGCCGACGTAGGCGTAGGAAGCAGCAAAAGAGGAAAAATATACAGATACACACATCAATAAGCTCCACCTCAATTAAACATTTCCACTTCTAAAATATCATACAAATGGAAATAACAGCAGCCTAGGATTCCCTTTTAAGTTACAGTGCAGGTTTCTTCTTTTTTTCCTCAAGTTACAGTACACATCAGTTGTCGTTGGAGAACATGATCATTATGACTAATTAAATAAAGTTGCTAACTTTTTCTCTCACCATGATGTTCTTCTTGTGTCTTTTCTCCTTGATGTGTTTGTGTGCCCCCTGTATGTTCTCGATGTGTACAGAACACAGCTTGCATAGGTACTGGAAGTTAGGGTACTCAGGAGACTGCTGTAGAGGTGGAGAGAGAGCAGTGAAACCAATCACGTGAGAGACTGATGATATGATAGTGCCCCGCCCCTCTTCCATGTAGACATGGAAATCTCAACTCTAAGTCTTGAGCTGTTGACTATTAACATTGGTACAGTTTTACCTGGTGAAAATTCTAATTAACCAATTACAAGTTGATAAGACTGTAGTGCTAGCTATTAGTGATGTTTGAGTTCAGTTGATTATTTTTTTTAAATAATCATGATTTTTCAATTTTCTTAATTGTTTTAAACATTAAATGCACTATGCATTATGTGGGTTGAATACTGTGACATCACAGAATAAAACAATTAATAAAAGTCCCATGATGGTAGTGACTGGTCCTCTGTAGCTCAATTGGTAGAGTATGGCGCTTGTAACGCCAGGGTAGTGGGTTCGATCCCCGGGACCACCCATACGTAAACATTTATGCGCACATGACTGTAAGTCGCTTTGGATAAAAGCGTCTGCTAAATGGCATATTATTATTATTACTGCTTATCACTTAACCATCATTTATTCACATTACTTTAATAAAATACTTCATTTGTTTAAATTTAATGACTTATTTTATTCCATGTCCTCATCTCTATAGAGCTGCTGCCTATGTTGTCAGACAAAATCACTATTTTATTAGTTCTTCAAAGTAAATAAGGCCTACTTTTATGACTGCTGAATAGGCTACCAACTATATAAAATCACTTAGTGCATGAATTTTCAGGTACGCCTCGCAAAGCAACTGCTTTCTATCACTCTCGCACGTTTTTTTTCTCTCTGTGACTCAACTAGGTCTTTGTGTCTGCTCCACACAGACAAGTAAGCAGGCTAGGCGCGCGCAATGGATTATGCTCATTGTAGTTAATTACCCAATTTTCTCTGCTAAACTATGTAGAATATTGGCCTGTTGGAAACTACAACTCCCTACTACACTGCACAGTTCGGGCTTGATCTGATTTATCTCTACAGAAACTGAGTATCGAGCTCACAGAAAAAACTGAAACGACATGGAATTCAAATAATTGAATCGATGTTAGTCAATTAGTTGTTTAAAAAAAGAAAAATACCCAAAAGGTAGGTTAATCGCTCAGCACTATAAGACTGACATGTAACCTGAGACTGAAGTTGCCTTAAATGTGCAATTGTGTACATACATTCCAGTAACTGATACAGACAATACATACAGTCGACTGATACAAACTAAAGTAACTTATTTTCTCTCCTCACCTTGACCAGTCTGTGTATGTAGTCTCTGTAGAGGCGCTCCTCAGCCTGTCTGAGACCCAGCTTCTGCTCAGAGGTCATGTTTCCACCCTGACCCCGCTCGTTGACCCCTGACCCCACCACAGTGACCTCCACAGCAGGCTGCCCTGTGCCCACCACAGCACCGGCCTTCTCACCTGCAAACACAGACAGATCACCTCTTCATATAGATTGATAGATAGATACACAGCCATGCATTAATATGAAACAGCTGTAGGAAACAAATGTTTTGACCAAGAACAGTTTCCATGACAAAACAACAACAGCAACAAGAGGTCTATATTGTAGCAGCTAATGGCTCAAACATTAACCAATAGCTATGTAAAGTATAGAATAACGCACCCGGTGACTTCTCCTTCAATGGACCTGTCTTGGGGGTCTTGGTCTGTAAAGTAAGGCCTTCTTCAGATGAGGTGGCCACCATACCTGTGGCCCCTGTGTCTCTGCCTCCACCTACACCAGCCGGGCTGCGTCCTGTAACCAACGAGGGCCTAGCATCACCCCCCTGCTGCTGTTGGCCTCCCAGTCTCACCTTCCCCCTCTCCCCAGAGCTGGTCCTCCCAGTCAGCCTACGAGGCTTCCCTCTCCCTGGGTCCTGAGGGCTGGCAGTGGAGGCTCTGCCCGTGCCTGTCCCACGGTTACTGCCTTGGTCCTTATGGTCTTCCCTGGCTGTGGTGATGTTCTCCTTGCTCCGACAGGCAGTGGCAGGCTTGGGGCCGTGGCCCTCTCTCTGGGCTGGAGCTTCTTTCAGGGGCCTGGAGCTGGCAGAGGATGAAGCTTTGGCTCCCTTGGCCTCGTTGCGAGAGGGCTTGACTGATTTTAGGGGGCTTTTTGATTCCTCCATGCCTCGATCCTGTCCTCTCCCACTCTCTAGCTACTACTCTGTATTGAGGATGATCAGAGTCTAGGGAGGCAGCTAGTCCAATGAAAACCTGGAGAGATTAAATGCATTCATTGTTGGCATTACCTACATTGACCTTAGAAGAGCAATAGCGTAAACTATTCATATATACTAAATAGTAATACTATCAAATCATAGATTGTAGTAATTAGGTATCTGCTACTGGTAAGAAGAACTGAGAATGTAGCCAATGGACAGTGGCAAAACCTTTGCTGCAATGAAGTCCCAAAGGCCTGATTTAAACAAGAGTGCATCTAAGCTAGGATAATATGGTTAGTTGGACCAGTTCAGAAAAATGTAATAATAATATAACTAGCTATGTTTATTGCAAAGACAGAGTATAATGTCATGTGTCTGATATTAACAGTGTGCTGTTGTGTTAGTTGTCGAACAAAGGACAGAGAAGAGCAGCCATATCTTGTCACCAGATGGCCTAGTCTTGCAGGAGTGCAATAACAGGACAACACCCACACCCAAGGCCACAATCACCAGATCCTCCTCACCAGTTCCCTGGACACACACAAACATTTCATTTGCACGCACACTCATTCTCAACTCCCCTGTCTACTGGTCGGGTGCCAAGGGCAGAGGACTCTGCCGTGCACCAATGGGGCATCTGCTCTGGACAGAGCAGACCCGCCTCCTACGCCTCGGGAACCAATCAAGGGACTAGAAGAAGGACCCCTTCCTTTATGTTACATTGTATAAAGTAATGCTGTAAACTCTGTTTAATCATCCTTCTCAACTGTCTCCATAAGAGGCAATTGATTGGGTCCATGCATGTTAATTAGCAGGATCCCATGCATGTAGCCTAACAGTACAAGATATCTCTGTGTTTAATAAACTGCCTTTTGCTTAAGCAAATTCCTCTCTGTCTAGCGTCGTTGGTTTGTACTCCCTCTCCTAATTATGTGTTCACCAACAATAACAATATAACAAAGGGTGTAGTTACTTGGCTAGTAGCTGCATTTAGCAACGCGGTGCATGTATATACACTAGCATTGCTCCCAATAGTATTGTGTTGCACAAAACGCCAGAAGTTGAATACAACTCAATTTCAACTTACTGTGGCGGCAGGACGGTTGGTCATTATGACAGGGGAATTTGAGACAAAATATGTAAAGGAAAGTATTATTAAACAATTTCCAAAACGTGGGTCTGTTGTAAAACCATTTCCTCTATGCTTACCTAATAATAATAATATGCCATTTAGCAGACGCTTTTATCCAAAGCGACTTACAGTCATGTGTGCATACATTTTTACGTATGGCTGGTCCCGGGGATCGAACCCACTACCCTGGCGTTACAAGCGCCATGCTCTACCAATTGAGCTACAGCGGACCACATTACCTCATATGAAAAATAAAAGTCCTGCACGTGCACCATATGTGGACGAAAACGGAGTAACTTGTGGGGGGACTTTTATATTGACATGATGTAAGCAGAGAGGAAGTGGGTCTAATAACACATTCCTTTAACTAGATGTTTCAAATTCCCCCGTCATAACGTCCAATCAGCACAGTAAGTTGAAATTGAATTTGATTTAACTTCAGGCTTCCCGCGGACAGTTTTTTTGTCCAACCCAATACCTTTCGGAGCAACGCTGGTGTCCGTAAATACACTCGCGTTGCAAAAAGCAAGTTGGTTAGCTGAACAAAACCATGGCTGAAGCACTTGTGTTTATTAAGAAACGAAACCAACCCACATCTCGAAAGGGCCTTCTCGCGTAGCGAGACACCCTGCAGAAGCAGCAAACTGCAATGTATTCATAACAACTCGAGACAAATAAATATCGTGCAGCTCGCGCACGGACTTCCTAGCTAGCTAGAAAATGTCTGTTTTGCTAACGATAGGTAGCTAGCTACATAAATCAAAGTAGCTAATAAATGGCTAGTTTGCAAACTAGACATCTATCCACTAGTTGGCTAGCGGCTAAGCTTTTCTATTGACAATTGCTTAACTAGCTAGCTACTCTATAAAACTGATGCACGACAAAATCGTCAAACGTCTACAAATAATATGCAACGCCTTACTGTAATATGCAGGTTTTAAGTCAAAATGCGGCTTGACCGTCTATCTTCCTGCTCAGTATATTGTTTTTCTCATCCACGGCCCTGATCAACACAGCAACCATAGACGCCATGTTAATCCTTCCACACTTCGTCTTCTTTGATGAGGTTTAATTGTGGTTGGCATCCAATAAATGTTGCATTACCGCCACCTACTAGACTGGAGTATAACTCCCTTATACTTCGCTTAAAAATAAAATGTAATAACCAATACCCTACCATCTAACACTACACTCACTAAAAAATTAAAATAAACACAACCCTACTCCACTATTTAAATATATTTAGTCCTACTTCAGGCCAACAGCCTGAAAGGATGGGACACCACCACTTAACACACCCAGTAACTCTTCTGACATCAAGTCTAGCACACCCAAATACCTCTCTGCAGCTGCCACCACAACCTCAATTACTCTGCGACTTACGTTCCATCCCTGCAGTACAGTTGATAACCATTGCTATAAATGCTAAAAACCCAATCTTACTGAAACATATATTACTTGTTGGCCTATCCCTCTGTACTGGTACATATCTACTACTCACACCACTCCTTGCCTCAGTATATGACAACTTCTGCACTACCCTAACCCGGGAAACCTCAACCTGCCTCTCTCTCACCTGACATTTCTGATCCCCAGCCCCATGGGCACCCCTACAATTAACACATACCACTACTTTCCCCAATGCTACACATTTCTTTGTCTCATGCACTTCTGCACACTTCTCACACCTAGGAACCTCCCTCCTACACACTGCTGCCACATGCCCATAAGCTTGACACCTGTAACAACGTAATGTATTCGTCACAAAAGCTCATACAGGATAACTTATATATCCTAACATCACTTTTTCAGGCAAAGACTCAACATCAAAACTCAAAAGAACAGACAGCGACTCTTCTTTTTCACCACTCACGCCACCCTGCCTGTGTCGCACCAAACGACGAGCATCACAAACACCGGTAATCTTCCCTTTCAGTTGGCCAACTTTCACAATTACCGCTACCCCAGTAATCACTCCTTTCAATGGCACCCTTTTCTTGAGAGCAAAACAATTCACATCTCTTGCCCCCATTCGTTTAACACGGAACACCTGCTCCCTCTGATCAGCAGAAACACAAACAATTGTCACAAGACCACTTCTGGTTACCCTCACCGATTCCACAGAACCCAACTCTGTTTTCACCCACCCTGAAACCACAAATGGATCAGCCAAAATGCAAGGGTCCACTTTTTCCCAAAACTTCACTCCTAATGTCACAGACTCATCTTTATCCTGACCCTAGGTGCAAGCCTCGGGCTCAGAGAACTTCACCAAACCTACCACCTCCGATACTTCACCCTCTTCCATTTCTCCTCCTTTCTTCAGCTCACTCTGCTTACACTTTCTACCATTCTTCTTTAACAAACCATCTCCCTTTTTTCCACCATCTTCCCTCCAGCACTCTTCCTAGTTCCTGCCCTGAACTTTTTTTCACAACATTTTAGTCATTTAGCAGACGCTCTTATCCAGAGCGACTTACAGTTAGTGAGTGCATACATTTTCATACTGGCCCCCCGTGGGAAAACGAACCCACCACCCTGGCGTTGCAAGTGCCATGCTCTACCAACTGAGCTACAGGGGACAACCTCCTTCTTTACTTGCCCCACCACAACATCAGAAGATTCTAATTTCAACCAATGAGAATTATTGAGTCTGAGTGACAAAAGCTGTAACTGATGGGGGGTCAGGTGAAGATGAAAGTACAGAGAGTGAGAACGAGTGGGCTACAGTTGCGAAAATGAAAGGAAACAAAATAAGTAAAGTTGTGATGGAAACGAAGAAATCCCTAGATTGGTTTATAGTGGGAGTGAGGGTTTTGGATCAATGTTACCTGGGGGATCCGTTTGAAGTCACGAGGAGTATCATGGAGGCGTTTAGCCCTTGATCATGACTCTCAGTTCCATTACATGACACATAAGAGTCATTGTACAAAGGAATCTTCTGTAGGGGGGGTGTTTTGTTAAGATACCCAACGCTCGGTCTGAACATTAACATGCATCGCTTGTGGTACTGTTTTGGAAAAACAAAAGGTTACATTTTTACACACCTTGATAGTGTTCCGTCACGGCCATATCTCCATGTTACAGCGCTTGTTTACGGAAAAAAAGAGGAAGACAAGAGACGACCACCTGTGCTAATTAGTTATTAGCTATGTGTAAGCGTAACTCGGGAAGTGTAGCGGAAGTGTAGTTTTGTCAGATGGAGGCACCCTTAGCTGTATGGATCTGTCTGCAAAACTGCTACAGTAAGTGTATGTTTTTTATTTGAAGGATTCGTGGGTTATTCGTGGGAGCATATTATTCTGTTTTAATGTTACTCCTAAATCGCTATGATAAATATAATATTTTTTTCTTGAGTGTATTATACAAATCTGAGATTTAGTGTAGGAATACAGGTGAAATAAGACATGTTGGCATAGCAGGAAGATCAGAATACTGTGAACCAAGAGGTTGTTAGATCAAATCCCAGGTGAGGACATGTTGAATAATAATTACTGTATAAATAAGCATACACAATGTAATCATGTTTGTCAAAGTGTGTCAAATATGTAAGTTGAAAACACTGCGACTATTTCGTGACATTCCGGGGAGATCCTAACAACACATTTTTGTTTGCAGGGCATCACCTATGAAATCTCGTGAAAAATATTAACTTGAAGATTTTAATCCATATATGAAAGGTTATGTGATCACATTTGAAAATCCACATGTGAAACTTCATGTGAAATGTCATCACATGTGAAATATTCCAAAACCACATGGTTTGTACATGTGCAAAACATATGGAAATTTCACATGTGATTTTCCACATATGAAATCATGTGGTTTTTCAGTAATAATAATATATAATATGCCATTTAGCAGACGCTTTTATCCAAAGCGACTTACAGTCATGCGTGCATACATTTTTTGTGTATGGGTGGTCCCGGGGATCGAACCCACTACCTTGGCGTTAAAAGCGCCGTGCTCTACCAGCTGAGCTACAGAGGACCACCGTAAGGGATAGCATAGGCCCCTGAATGAAACACAGTGTAAAAACATACAGTACCAAGACACAGTCAACTTTAAATATCTGAAATATTAGGTCTAGCATTGTAACCATCTGGCCTAGATACCTACAGGGATAGCAGCTGAGGAATCCATAATGAACTTTTGCTTGACTAGTGATTCCTTCTCTTTCCTCCTGTAGAGTGGTTCAGAAATTCTTTGACAAATATTAACAGTATTTGTCAACTCCAGCCTAATCAGTCTCTCCTCTCCTCTTCTCTCCCCCTCTCTCTCCCTCTCCCTCTCTTCCAGTTTGATGTCGGGGCTAGCTGCCATGGATGCTAAGTGTTCCAGCAGACTGGGACTGATCACCGTGTCTTACTACCTGTGGACCACCTTCGTGGTGGTGGTGGTGGGCATCATCATGGTCTCCATTATCCACCCAGGAGGAGCAGCCCAAAAGGAGGACTCTGAGGACAGCGGCAAGGCCATCATGAGCTCTGCCGACGCCCTGCTAGACCTCATCCGGTACGCTGGCCCAACCATGCTTTACAGTAGCTGCTACACCTCATCCGGTAAGCTGGCCCAACCCTGCTTTACAGTAGCTGCTACACCTCATCCGGTAAGCTGGCCCAACCATGCTTTACAGTAGCTGCTACACCTCATCCAGTAAGCTGGCCCAACCCTGCTTTACAGTAGCTGCTACACCTCATCCAGTAAGCTGGCCCAACCATGCTTTACAGTAGCTGCTAGACCTCATCCAGTAAGCTGGCCCAACCAAACTTTACAGTAGCTGCTAGACCTTATCCGGTAAGATGGCCCAACCATACTTTACAGTAGATACTAGACCTCATACAGTAAGCTGGTGGAACCGAGTCCAAATAACTTCCCTATAACCCCTTTTCTCTTTGGAGAGTATATCATCCACAAACTTTCTCCACAGGACTCTGTGTTGTGCGGTTTTCTCCACTCCTTTCTCAAGGGGTTTGTTACTTTCCTTGAACACTAGCCTACGCCACAGTACCCACATGGGTTGCCACCATTGTCGAAATGAAAATAGAGCTCTTTGGCCACGCATACCAGTTGTGGGTTTGGCGTTAAAAAACCTCATACCTATGGTAAAATATGGTGGTGGATCTTTTATGTTATGGGGCTATTTTGCTTTCACCGGTCCTCGGGCCCTTGTTAAGGTCAATGGAATCATGAAGTACCAGGACATTTTAGCCAAAAACCTGGTTTCCTCTGCCAGGAGGCTGACACTTGGCCGCAAGTGGATGTTCCAGCAAGAAAATAATCGCAAGCACTAATCAAAATCCACAAAGAAATGGTTAATTGACCACAAAATCTACATTTTGCAATGGCCATCTCAGTCTCGGGACTTGAACCAGTTAGAAAACAGGTGGTTTGAATTGAAGAGGGCAGTCCATAAGAGCAGACGGAGGATATCAAGGATCTGGAAATATTCTGTATGGAGGAATGGTCTAAGATCCCTCCCAACGTGTTTTTCAATCTCATAAAACATTTTAGAAAAATGCTCATTGTTGTTATCCTCGCAAGGGGAGGCGCTAGAGTATTGAAAACAGTGGTGCAATTATTTTATTGTTTTTACTTGTTAAAGCAATTGTATTAGAATAAAATAATATAATTTCAACAACAAAAAAAAAAGACCATACAATATAGCTCAGTATTTGCATTATTTATTTTATACAGTCCTTTTTGCTAATCTTTACCAAGGGTGCCAATAATTATGGACCTGACTGTATGTGTGGCCTTGTTGCAGTCAGGCAGCCATACAGAAAAATTGGTACAGCAAAGCATAATCATTACAACAATTATTATCTGGGTGATTTAGCCGCACTGGTAATCCCAAAGTAAAATTGCAGACCGCAAAACAAAATATTTAGGAGCATATGCATATGCAAAATGGTCGCACTTTATAGCTCTGGGCAAGCCACCAGAACAGCTTCAATGCGCCTTGGCATATATTCTACAAGTGTTTGGAACTCTGGCGGGATGCAACACCATTCTTCTGTGAGAAATTCCATATGTTGTTGAAA